GAGATGAATGGGAGAACCCCCTTCTTCATCGACTATCACACCCTCTGGAACTGATGCTCGAGTTTCCCACTGTCCAAATTTTGATGCAGAGAGATTCCGAAACACTTGCTGCAGGAACTCTGCAGAATCATGCTGTCCTCCGTCAAAGAGCCAGCCCGTGGTGAGCTCCGAGAAGACTCTGTGTTCAGGGGTTATTCTCGCGAGTAGACTGATCCGAGATGCCTCGTGAAAAGGCGCCTCTGTGGGATCAGATAGCCAGTGCAGACACTGTAGACCTGAGTTGGCATAGCAGTGGTTGCGAGTGTTGGCTAGCAGGAGAAAGCCTTCCAGTCTAAATTCGGGAAGGGGAATACCTGGCATTGAATCTGTGGGCTTCTTTGTGGCTGTCTTCGCCGAGGTCGTGGGCCTTGCTCGAGTATATTCTCGGGGCTGCTTACTGAGCTGCTGACGCGCTACCTCCTGCAGTACGTGCACCTGCAGTAGTGGAACGCACTGCTGAGCATGTCTACCCGGGGCATCCACACGGAGTTTGCAATAACGACAGCTATCTCCTTTGTGAAAGAAGACCTTGAACTGAGCAAGTCTTGGTTGGAGAGTTTTCTCAAGCTTGGCCATCACTTCAGGATGCTGCTTGTTTAGGTGCTGTTTGGCTCCTTTCTGACCAACAAGGACCTGACCGCAGAGTGCACAGTGCTCCATCAGGTAATCATGGAACACCGGATTTCGAGCTGCTCCTTCTGGATTTTCCTGAGCATCAGACTGTAGACTTTCTGTAAGTGAAATCCGGTTCTGGGCTTCTAGAGGGAGCTCTTCCTGCTGTCGAAGCAAGAGCTCTACCCGAGGGCATGTAGATGCTTCGACGTGTTTGCGCAGATAGAACACTGTTCGGAATGTTGCTCTACAGGCGATGCAAGTTGCTGACCCTGGCATTGAATGCAAAATAGGGTCAAATTTGGGTCCTTTCAAGCTTTGCTGCGAGTCTGGGTGGGCCTTCTGCAGGTGGCGACGGAGTGCCCCGGTACCAGAGAGACATGCTCCACACTCGCCGCAGGTCAGGATCTTATCCTCTACTGATTGCGAGGAGAAGTCAATGGCAAGGCCTTCCAGAGCCTGGCTGATTGCCTCAGCGCGCAGCTTGTAGTGTGGGAGGAGCTGAGGATCTGAGTGTTGCTGTCTCTTAATGAACTGTGTCAGCCTCTTTTGCAGCTGCTCCTTCACGTGAGGAATCCGTACTCTCCGGAGTAACTCCTGGTTGGATTCCTTCGTTTCCTGGGGGTAGCTCCGCAGGACAAACCGAAGTTGGTACATCATGTGTGAATGGAGCTTCTGCAATCCCTGCTGTGTCAGTCCTACCACGTGAAGGGCATACAGAGCAGAGGCCCACGCAGTTATTGTCCAAATTGACAGACGACGTCTGTCTGATAGGACTCGATGGTTCCTAACTGCATGGGCGACTTCTGACATTGCTAGCTTACTGGATGACAGCCGATGTTTAAGGGTCTTCATTTCGTAGTCATGATAAGAAAGAATGACCCCCAGGTATGGGACCTGGTACCGCAGCGATATCAACTTGCCCGAAGGGAGTTCCACAAACTTCTCTCCATCTACCTGGCGAAATAGCTTTTTCCTAATTGTCGAGGCTGAACCTCCTTGTAGCTGCAGCAGTATTGCTGACTTGGACGGATTGACCTTGAACCCAAGTTCAACCAATTGATCCAGAAGAAGGTCGCAGTACCCTAGTGCTGTAATGAGGCCAGACTCAGACTCGAAATGCGACTGAATCAAGCTATCATCCGCATACATGGTGAGAAGTTTAACTAGTTCGGGGGGGCTGATTTTTCCAGAGAGCTTCCTAAAGAGAAGCCCGGATGCAAAGGCGAATAGGGAAGGTGCAAGCTTGCATCCCTGCTTGATTCCCCTGCGTGTGGCTATCTCAAAGCTCTGATCGCTGGCTGTCATCTTGTACAAGGCTTTGATGTGGAGATGGCCCACCACCTCTATAAGAAGAGGGTCTGCTTGTTCAGCTTCCAGGGCTTCTCTTAATCGTAGCCTGTCCACAGTGTCAAAAGCTTTGCTCATGTCAACGCTCATCGTGAGACTGCCCCTGAGCTTGAGCCCCTGTTGTCCCTTACCAGCCGCTCTAGTTGTAAGGGCCTGCCTGAACCTGGCCTGATCCACATGTGTGAGGGCCTTGCAGATCGCCTCCTCTGTGCCCCTACCTGGTACGAAGCCAAACTGAGAGACTCCTTGCATTGCTTGATGGAGGGTGGACTTGAGTCTCTGCCTCACAAGTCCTGCCAGGACCTTGCCCTCAGGTGCTATCACCCCGATCGGACGGAGTGATGTTGGCTTATCTGGCTTCTTGGGGGGCTTTGGGAGCCAAGAGATCTGTGACGAGGTGACGCTGTCCGAAAGCCTTCCTGCAGTGACTTCCCTATTGAGAGTGTCCGAGATGAGCCGAATAGCGTTGGGGCCTAGGGAGCGCCAAGCTACTATGGGAGGACTTTCTTTAGGAACTGCTTTGCCAAGCTTTATAGTGCCTAGCTGTTCTTGAACTTCTTGCTCGGTGATGTGCAGGCTGCCTTGTATCCCTGTGAGCGGGAAGTCGTCCCCTGCTCCAAACAGTTCAATGGAGTATTCCTCTAATTGTCTACGTTCTTCCTTGGCTGTTAGGAAGCGACCCTCTGAGTCACGTAGCTGAACTCTTTCCTGAGGCCTCCCCGACCGGAAGCGCTTGATCACCTTGTAGAGGGAATGACTCCCGTCTTGCTTGGATTTAAGCTCTGCCTGCTCGAGTTGTTCATCTATTTCCTGTCGTCGCCTTTCCTGCTTCTGACGCTTTGCTACCCTCGCCTGTGCACTTTGCTGAGACAGCGACAGCCAGCAGCGAAATACCATTCGGACCTGCAACTCCGGCAAGAACTCTGCTAAGACCTTGACTGACATTGGGAGTGAGCGCAACACTGTGCGCTCTGCCCAAATGCTGAGATCTGATCTTTGTGCTGCTCCCTTTCTCTTGGGAAAGTGAGTCGCGAGGGCTGAGTTCATTGCTTGATGGAGACTCTGCCAGGTTTGGGGATGATCCTGAAGGAGGGAGTCTACCTCCCTGGCAAATGCCTGTATTTTCGGGGAACGGTGTCTGTAGCAGTCCTCCATTGCCTGCTGGTCATAGGGTTTTGAGGCTTGGGCGGAGTAATGGAGCTCTGCCAGGGTTGGGGGATTTGGGGGGAGGGCAAAAAATCCCTCCACTGCCAAGGAAGGAGGATGCCACTGGGAAGGTCCTTAGTGGCCGGCAAAACCTGGCAGGGCCTTGGGACTGTGCAATCCTGACAAACGAGAAGTCAATCTGTGAAACAGAGTTGCCTTGTTCGTGGGTGGCTGGTCTATGCACTCCCCAAGTGTTGGTTGCGACTAGCTGGTGCTCCGACAGTAGGGTCTGGAGATCCTTAGATCCGCGATGCCCGAGTCTGCAAGCCTGGATCGTGCATGGCCCTACGTGTTTGTTGTCGGTCTTGAGCGAGGAGTTAAAATCTCCTAGCACAAGGAGAGTGTTGCGATTGGGAACAGCTCGGATGGACTTACTTAGGGCGTGAAGGGTCTGCTTCCGGGTTTCCTTATTCTGAGCGACTGTCTCCTTAGAGCGCCAAACGTATTGATAGCAGCTGAAGACGTCCAGTGAGATGCCGTTGCTCGGCACCCGGACCTGGAGAACTCTTCCTGGAACAACCTCGTTGTAGCGAAGATCCTGTGACTTGCACAGCGTGGAGTGCACCATTATGAGGACCCCGGCTCCCTTCTCCCCTGTGGAACCAGAGCTGATCACGTGCCAACCTGACTTGCTGAATTGCCATGAGCCCCTCCAGTGTGTTTCCTGAATTGCTACCAGCTTCACATCCTGAAATGCGGCACTTTGCAGTACGGAGAGTAACTCTTCCCAAACTGCTGTTGTGAGAGATCCTGCGTTCCAGGATAGATAGCTGAGATTCTTATCTTCTGTAAATTTTGAAGGCCGAGTCCTTCTGCCGGGATTGGTGGGCTTTACATGTGCCGGAGCAACTCCAAGCTCTGTTGACGACATCGTCCTTCCCTTGTAGACCGCACTACCTTCAAGCAGAGCTTTACGTGCTGCCCTTTGATAAGAGCGTTTACCCTTCCCTTTAGGAACGGGCTGATGCTTGGTCGAACCACTAGGCTGTTTCGCAGCACTCATGTTGAGTACGGCTCCTGTCGGCTTCGCAATACCGACAACCCTCACCTCTGGGAGATGTTAGAGAGCTGTAAATCTAATACTCCCTCCCGGACTTGGGACCGGGACTGCTCAGGCGCTGACAAATGCCATGGCAAGAAAGGAAAAAGGCAACTGTACTAGCCTGACCTTTCCTGAGCCGAGAGGCTTACAACAACAGCAACAGCAACAGCAACAACAACAACAACAACAGCAACAACAACAACAACAACAACACACAACAACAACATCAACACCAAGAGCAGCATGAAGAACAAGAGCACCACGAGCAGCAATAACAACAGCAGGAAAATAACATGAGGAGTAATAATAACAGCAGCAACAACAACAACAACAGCAGCAACAGCGGCAGCAGCAGCAGCCGCGGCAGCAGCTTAAAGGCTTGTGTCTGTGATCCTGATCTAATTCTAGGCGTGTATAATGATTTCGGTCAGCGCAGCTCCCAGTGCCCACAAACCCGAGCCTTAATTCCCACAGAGTTAATGCTAAATCCTTAAACCCTAAATCCGGCTTTTTATATAGCTTCAACCCTCCAACTTTCGAATCCTCAAACCCCCTTACGGTCATGAATTGGAGCCCAATAGCCTGAAACCCTTGACTTGGCTGAAACCCTAAAGTTAGAAGCCTTGAGCTGCAAAGACGTCGAGCGCAACTCTTCACCCTCGAACCCTCGAGCGCGCGGACCCGTCGTTACACCTTCAGCCTTTGACCCCTGAAGCCATACCACCCCCAGCACCTTCAAAACCCAGCTAAGGATCCGCCGAATCAAGTCCCTTGGTCTGCAGGGCCTTAATTTGGGTGTTGCTCCCGATGCCAAATCCCAAAGTCGTGAACCTGAGGTTTAGGCAGGTCCACGAGTATCTGATTGTTGGTTTCTTGTTGTGGAGATGTGGAGCTGGTCAGGGATTTACAACTCCGCATCAAATCCGGTTTTGCTAGGTCCCAATGATGTTTAAAGCATACTATAGAGGCTTCAATGATTAGAATAGGCCTCTGGGAGATCTGAAATCATAAAACTGTATCAGGGAATCCCCCTTTCAAGACGAATTTCTCGGTAGCTACTTGGACCCCTGGATTAATTTAGCGCTCCGGGTCTTCCGGGGTTCAAGGCCCCGGGCTGGAGCCTGCGAACCAGTTTTTACCCGGAAAGCAATGCTGCTTGGGGTTGGGGAGTTGGGTCTTTATAAGATGAATCCTGATGTTTACGATAGCTTTTTGAGGTGTGGTCAGTAGATGTGCCGGTTTGGGAAACTCCAAGACACTCCATCTGCGGGGGGGGGGGTAGCCTGGATCTTCGTCCCTTTCCCGAGGCGCTGCAACAGAAAAGCATGCAGGTCCAGGGCAGCACACAACTTGTCTGCCATTCTTCCCTGGAAAGGGCTGAGGTTGACGAAGTTGCTCCTGGTTTGAATCCCCCTTCCGGGGCAGAGTAAAGTCTATCGGGGCCACACCCTGAATCCTGAACGGTTGTTGACGGTCATTGCGTTATGTTCTACGCCCGGCTCAGGCTTGGATCCAACAGGCTCACAGGCAACTGGGCTTTCTTGGTATCTTATATTATGCCACCCAAACCCTGTTCTATTTGATAATGTTCGTTATTAATATTCCGGAGCTTTAAACCAGGCTAAATTCCTATTCGAGCCATAAGAGCCAGTCTGGCAGTTCTAGCGGGTAAGATCAGTTCCCATGATGCAAATACAGCTTAGTCGGGAAGTCCTCTGATCCACAGTGCCTGAAAGCCTTGCAGCCGAGAGGATCGCTTAAGAAGGCCTGCGTGCGACCTCACGCAGCCCTAATCTGAAACCCCTATCCCCAACCCCAGATAGAGCCCTAACATAACAAGCCCCAAACCCTAATTCGAAAGCCTCACCAAAGGCCTGACATTGGACCCTGAAAGTCGAGACCCTCGGCCGGTAATTGAACAGAAAAGCCGCCCACAGAAACAAGGACTATAGCAAGGTTTCAACAGTTTGTCCGAAGAAGAATCATAGAGGGTTTGTTGTAGAGCCGGGGCCAATGCACGCCTTCTCTATAGAAAAAAGTACGTCGTGCAGGAATCATTTTCGTTGTTTAAGGTCTTCATTCTGGGAAGAAGGTCATTAATCCGGGATCTAAATCAACACAGCTGCGATCCTTCGAAATGCCTCTATGTCTGAACCGTAAGAACCCGAGACAGCCCTGCAAACCCTATTAAACCCGATACTCGTAGTATGCATCAGGGTTGGCATTTCGGTCCGCACCCAGCCGGAAGCTCGCGCACCCTAGGCCGCCTACAAAATAAAAACTCCAAGCTCTAGTCCAAAATCCCAGACCCCGAAAGCCTGTGAGCATGATTTGTCTCTGAAATATTCGGTTATATTATGTAGGGTATGGGTGTACTCGTACGGGACTCCTTAGAATAATATTGGTGAATGCGTTCTTGTGGGGTTTATTATTTAGGGGAATTCCAGTCTGTAACAAGAGCCCTGCCAGATATACAGTGTATAGGTTTGGCTTCGTGGACCAACACAACGACAAAGTGCATTCAGACGGAGTTCTTCATTGCATGGTACGCTCAAGAACTTGGGCATTACTCATGCAACCATCCACACCAACTATGACTGGATTGTTGAGGGTTTGAACCTCAACCTCGTGACCAGCAAGAACTGCAGGGGCGCTTCTCACCTCGGCATCCTGCAGGAAGTAAAGCCAACGTCACTCTGAAGCTGGAGGGCAAAAAGAAGGGACAGAAGTGACCTGCGCCAACTCTTCAAGATGTCAGCTATGAGCTGACAAAGTCTTTCTATCGCAAAGCCTGACCACTTCAGTTGCACAGACATACAGCTTATACAGGGTCCTGGATTCCTAAACCTTACGCTTTGGTGAAACCCTGAGTAAAGACTTGAAGAAGCCCCTTCCTTTCGACCCGAGGTATCATTGAGTCTGTAGCTGGCACGGGCGTTGGCGGCCTGGTGCGCTCACCCGGGATCTCCTGCGCAGGTTATTGTTCTCCAATTCCTTTCAGTGGCTTCGTTAGCAACTGCTAGGTGAACTTACAAGTTTAAGCATGTGTGTGCCAGGGGGGTGTGACCATGGGGGCATATGGGGGCGCAGGTGTGTATGAAACCTTAACCTTCAACTCTTCTTGGCTCACAAACTCGCTGCTTTTGAAACTTATTCCCGAATAAATCAAAGGAATTGCTGGGGACAGTACTTAAACACCGATCAGCCCGTTACTACCCGTATGCACCGCGTATAAGCCCTTAAAGACCCCTTTCTAAATCCGTATCGGCATTATGATTCCTTACAGACCCCTGGAAATTGGTTTAACTTGGAACCACTTGCAGACCCCCTTGTGAGGCCGTGAGGCCTTACAGGCCGTTTCGAAACACTGCTAGACCCTCCTTAAACTCGTGTCAGCCTTATCAAACCATGAAAACCCCTATCTGGCCCTCCTACAATCCGGTCAGACAGACCCTCGCGAACCTTGAAGCCTTCGCCGTTGAAGGGGGGGGACTCGGAGTTGCGGCGTTGGTTTTCGGTGTTCCGGTTGCGGATGTCCGTTCGGGGGGTTTCTGGGTCCAAGCAACAAAAAATTGACAGCCGGCTTGCAAACATGTTAATTACAGGGTTGTAACTATGTGCATATCAGGCCCTTTGCGTCACAGGTTTCGGGCGAAAGTTGTTGTGTAAAGCTTCGAATTTGGGCAGTCCCATGGCCGAGTAAGTGCCTTGTCCTTCTGATAGTGCTTCGTACGACACCTTAAACAATGCAGCCTTATAGAGAGCCCTAAGCCGTTTCAGGCTAAATGTAACCTCTTTTTTCTTGGGAAGCTCCTGAACCCTAAAGGGCCCAGCATGGGACTTTCCTGAAACCTCGATACCCAAGCGACACCTTCGTTGAATTCTTCTTGGCATAGCTATGAATATGGTTTGTTGGTTTTTGTTTCCGGAAGGGTGACCATGCAGTTTTTCGAGCCTGAAAAAGGCTCGGACTGAAGCAACGAGAATCTCCTTCAGCTCTAACTCCCCACACGAAATCGAAGCGGAGGGACAAGACGGCCTGGATCCGCTCCTGTCTCGCTCCTCGGCCGCAGAGAAGCTTGGATTTGTAATGGGGAACACCTTAAAGGGATACCATAAGGGGTACTCACTAAGGTTCGAAATTAGGGCTATACGGGGTACTATAATGGGGTTCTATACTAGGCCTATAAGGGATACTATAGTAGGGTTCTATATCAGTGTCCTTAATGATTTAGAATAGTGTAGGAACCCTGTCTCAGGCCCAAGGGGTGATTAGAACAGGCGTCTTCGCCATACTGCGAGGCCTGTGGGCTCAAGTTTTTATATAAGGACCTGAACAGTCTTCAAGGATCTTAGAAGGGATTCTATCAGGTGTTTTAGGGTTTTGACGGCTTTCACTAGGGTGTGCCGGGACTAGAGCTTTTTTACAGTCAAACTGAGGAGCCTTGTTCAAGGCTAGCGGCTAGCAATAACTAGTCCTAATCACGCAGACTCCTACGGTAAGCCTGGTGTAGGGATTGGGATTTAGGATTAGGGCTCTCGGACTCTTGGGCTCTCGATTGTTTCCAAAGGGCGTGGAGAAATGTGTGAAGTTTTCTGGACATGCACAAAAGTAACCTGATTTCGAGAACTGCCCAGTTGTAATTTCAGGATGAGCACGACTTCATGAGTTACTAATCACAGCTAGTTAGCAGCTCGTTGCCAGTTCGTCTCATGTTATTCGCAACCTTTAAGAAGGTGTTGGGATGAATTCGGACGTAGGCTGAAGATGCATTCGGTTGAAGGATGCTTGGCGGTTGGGCCACTGCATCATGAGGACCCAAGCCTACGTCGTTTTTTCAGCCATAAGCTATTTTTGGGTTCACTGCATGCTTCTGATCTGAGGGAGGGGCGCGGCTTGCAGTTTCAGTTTTAGTATCTGGGTGTTGGGGTGTCTGGGGTTTGGGGGTCTTGAAGGCAACCCTTAAAGGCTCGCGTGAGAAATACTCAGGGTTTCGGTTTTCGGCATTTGGAGGTGCAATGAGGTGCAGAACTTGCGTCGAGGTTGCTGCAGGTGGTTCGTCGGTTCAAGGTTTGGGGTTGACGGGTCCAGGGTTTAAGGCTTCGAGGTTTGAAGCTTTGTTGGTTTGTATGTGCATCGCCATCACCAGCATCAGCCGACAGCGGGAAACAGTCGCATAGGGGTCTAGGCACAGGCGCACCCTCCGACAAGAGTGGGGATGGAAGAAGGTGCAGATTGGCTTTGGCGCACGTGTTCTAAGCATCCTACAGGAGACACTCATGCCAGCAGGGGAGTTAAGAATGAGAGTTGGAGGCCGATGCGGACGTGGCATTGGAGGAGCACGGGGGCAGTGCATGGCAGGATTAAGCCAAGCAGGAGTGTGGGGAATGGGAGGAAGTTGCTGAACCTAGACCCCAAACCCTACCCCAAAAAACAAAAACCGTAGAACAGAGCAACCTTAACCTAAATCCTATCACCCGGATCAGGGGGTTCAACCAAAGCAATCCAATGTTAAAGCCCAATACTATCCTCCGTCGCAGGAATATTACACCTATACTCAAAGCCCTATTCCCCAAAAAGGCGAAAAGAAGAGCAACGCTAACCTAAACCCTAGATATCCATAAATAATAAACCCTATCCCTGCAAAAAAGGTGGTAAACCCAGAGCAACCTAAACCCAAACAATCCCCTGCAGAGAAAAGAGAGAGAGAGCGTAAACCAAAGCAGCCTGACCCTAATCTGAACAAAAAGCTTAAATCAGAGCAACCTCAACATGAGCACTACAACCGGCCAGGTTTCAACTACCCGTGGGGGCTCGCCTTGGAGCCCGTCGCAGGCAACTTGGTGTGGTAGAGCTCGTGACATTTTGAGGAGGGAGGGGGGGTAATGTGTAAACCTGAACACTGTAATTACTGTATTGGAGCTATCGACGCATACTTGACAGCCAACTAGTAGACCCGAAGCCTAGCCAGGGTTTAGGATTTAGGGTTGGAAAGGGTTTATGATGGTTTACGGTATACATAGGTCTTGGAACCGGGTGCATACCAACAGAACAGCTTGATCAAGGTTCATTGCAAAATACAACTGCCAGTCTTTTTCTCTGGTTTTGCTGCGCCACAGGCTCTGTGAAGCTCTATGTGGGAGATAACGCCAATCACCAGGCAGGGGGAACTGTCTCTCCCTAGTTGGGACAATCCTCACGGTTAGGGTGACCCTTCTCGACAACTCCCTAAGTCCTGAACCGTAAAGTTGCAACGAGATGGAGCACGGCTGTAGTATTGCACTTTTCCCGGATGCTTGACGGACAGGAACAGACATGAACGGGTTGGGTTAGCACGTGGGGATTCGGCACCATGCTGCCGCGGGATCCTTTGCACACCACGCTTCTGGACGGTTGTCGCCTATTTGTCTGTCTTTCCCAAGACTGAGTGGCAGACTGATGGTATGATGTGACAGGCCTGCTGGAATCACATTCTTGTTTCAGGCTTGAGCTGGAAGCCTCAAACCTTCTTGCTGAACATGCAAGAACAAAATCGCCAGAGCAAATGTTCCTAAGCCCCTGGCCAAAACGGCCTCAGCTCTGATTCCCCTGGCCGAGGGCTCGGAATAGTTCATACTATAATAATATAACATATTGTAATATAATATAGTATATTATTAAATTATATTATAGTTATATAATGCTGGTATCCTGGTCCCATTGTACGTGGTAAATATACTTCAAAACCCTGTCCTGATTATCAAGGCCCCAACGTTGCTGGCATCCTTCAACTGGGTATTTCTCATTTGAACCTTACTCTCGTGAAGCTCGTAACACCTTTTACGTGCTAAAATGTCATCAGCCCTGAAACGGTAAATGCCTTGAGTCCTAAATACTCAAGCTTCTTTTAAAAGCAATCAACTACCATAACTACATGGCATTTTGGGCAACGATCAGTTTCCTTTTATGGTTCCTAGAGGCACCTATTCATAAATACTCTGACCCCAAAACTACTGTTACAAGCCAGATGGCTGCACCAAAAGGCTGCTACCCCAAAGAAAGCTTCGAAGCACGAGGCCTCCAAAAATGCAAAGCCTTCGGACCCCAAAGCCTTACAGTACATAGCAAAACATAAAGTACAATAGCTTGTATTGATATAATATAAATATGGTATGCTGTTTTATTTAATAAGCCATGGATCCCCCATCCGAGTCTAAAATCCCCCGACCCAGAAGCCGACGTTTTCAGGTGTCCCTGGTTGATTTAGCTTCCATCCCGCCGGTGGTGACGAAGTATTTCGGCTGCAAACTTTGAGCCATCTTTCGTATGATTCGTATAGGGTCTTCAGAGAATGTTGTATGGTCTTCGTCTGGCTTAGTGGGTCTTCAAATTCTGAAACTGAATGGGGTTTTGCAGGCTTTCATGGTGTTCATAGCGGGTCCTGGATCGTACCTCGAGGCGGTTCGAAAGACTTGGTAAGTAGGCCTGTAGTTAGGCTAGACTCCAGCGCATTTGAGGGACTCAGAATGGTTAAGATGTACAAAACTTTTGCCAGGGCATTCATACTTTATGCATGAACCCTCAAACCATGAACCCAACAACTTTAACCCTACAGGCTTAACCCTCAAATCATGACATTTGTTGGCCGAGAGGGGACGGGGACTGCAGGACAGTGTTTGAGGCTAAACGCACCCCCTTCGAAAGCTATAAAGCCTTAACAAAGGTTCCCCAACCTCAAGAACACCATAGCAGTCGCTGGGTAAGGCCTTCCTACAACCCTTTAGATACCTTCAACCCAGCCAATCCCACGTAGCTCTTTCGCAACCGGTCAACGCTATGTGCAGAACGCACCCCAAAATCCAAAGCCACAACCTTAAACCCTAAACCCTAAACCCTAAACTGCAAACACAAAACATTTACATACATAAACCACCAAATGAAGAAATTCATCCGGTGCCTTTTTCGGTCGGCAGGGCAGATCGATGCGAGAGCGAGGATGTTACGTTCAGGTTTCGGGCCCCTAAAGCTCTGATGTCTCTGAGGACTCCTAGCAATCTTGGTGACGGAATAAATGGAACCAGCAACCATTTTCAAAGGATTAGCATGCCAACAACTACTGAGAACAGTAGTAGCAGCAATTGTCGAAATATATTAAGAGTACGTTTTCACCTGTAGTTCCTACTACATGCAGTATGCTGCACTGGAATATTGCTCCGCAGGTTCAGGGCCCAAGGCTTGCAGGTCTTCCGGGCTCAGGGCTCCTAGAGATTATCGGGTGTTGAGCTGGCTACGGATCCAAAACCGATGCCTCCCACAAAGCCGAACCTCGATAGCAAAGAACGTGGTCCTAAGCTGCAGTTCGAGGATTGCTGGATTGAGAGAAGCTGGTGCTGGAACAGCAAGCAGGGGGTTGAGTTCTTCAAACTGGTATGGAGCCCTGAGTATTTAGTCATGAGGCCCCCTTCCCTTGTGAAGTCTATTCCTCTTCAGAGGCTCTGGGGCCGTTGGTTTGGGATGTGCAAACTTCGGGGTGGAGGGTTTCTGGGTTTGGGATTCAAGATGTACTGTTCAGTGGTAGGGACATAACGTTCGGGCTTCACGATTTTGTGGGCTAATGTTGGGCCAATGCTGCTTACAGTAACAGTCTCTAATGAGGAAACGCTGGGGCTTGAATGTAATTACCTCGACCCTGATGGTGCTGTTACTGCAACGAGGTGTTGATGAAGGTTAATGATGTCGAGCCATATTCCGGCTTTGGGCTATCGCCTGTCGGGAAGCTTGAAGACAGCTTCAGAGACTCAGTAATCACAATGAGGGTGCAGGAAAGAAGTCTCAATGATTTGAAGTATCATATCATCATCCTTTTTTTTGCTACTCGGCTTCTTTTCGTCGGTGTGAGGATATACGGTTGGCTATGTAGGCGTTTACCTGTAGCCCCCACAACACAGTAGGTGAAATGTGACGCCACAGCAATGGGGTAGTCAAGCTAGTATAAAGGATTTTGGATTTCATTGATTTGGGGTCTACAGCGGTTTGGGGTTTCGGTTTCCTGAGAATCAAGCCCTAGCCCTACATCAGCACGCACTCAAAGCGATTCAGTCGCAACTCATCAACGACGGGCCCGAGTTTGTCGCCCTTGATGGGTCTCTGGGTATCCTGAAGTTAATTTTGTATTTTTGCTTCAGGGTTAGGTTTGGGGTTTAGGTCTCAGGGCAGGGTTCAGGGTGGGCAATTGCCAAAAGTGGCTTCAGAAAGCAGGGGAATCCCCCCGACTAGCTGCAACGAGAGGTTTCGCTCCAACAAACTCTAATGGTTGTCCTCGAAACAAATGATTTTTACAGGAGCATGAGTACTGTAACGCAATCTTCCTCACGGCTGAGTAAGTTCGCAAATTGTATACTGTATTTCAAGGTTCAGCCACGGTTAGGGTGGATATTTACAACACCTAGACCGCACACCTTCAAATGCTGATGGGCTCAACGTCAGGGTCTGTGGAGCCTGAATTGCAGAAACCCCACACCCCTAGCCCTGAACCCTTAGCCTGCACTCAAAACCGTGGAAACAATGGAAATACGAAGAAGAAGACAAAGTACCAATCTAAACCTAAGCTAAACCCTTGACCCCACCGGGCTCGCAGCCCTAAGCCTCAGCCGCTAAACCTTGAAAGCAGCAAACAAAACCCTAAACTTCCCCAAACGCCGGAAGCCCCAAACCATGTCCAAAATCCCCAGCCCAAGCTCCTTCAACACTTGTCCTCAAGAGAGCCATGTCCGTTCGCGTTGTTGTAGCGTTGTCCCTCTGATGCATCGAAGAGGGGCAAGCCCTCCAAGACAAGTTCGGGCTGAAGGGTTCTTAGAGCTTCGTTTTAAGCCTTCGGGGTTTGGGGTCTAGGGTTCCGGGTCCAGGGTTCAGGATTCTGACGATTGAGTACTAAAAGGTTTTATCCTTGTTGTCATCTATGTTCAGTTTGAATCAAATTGAATGCTTGCTTCTCATTGGCCATTTCAGATCCCACGAACTCTGAAGGGTCTTATTGGTCCCGGGCTATTCGGATTTAGTTTTTGGGATTTATGGGACTTTGGGCTCGGAGCGTGAGTGTCTAGTTTTGGATCTTAGGATGCCCCGCTAGGCATGAGATCAAGGGCTCTTTTGAAGAGGGATCATACTGAAGCATGAGTAAATCGAGATTTTCATAGTATCCCTGAACGGTTTCCGAATACGGCCCACAGGAGAACTGAAGCCCCCAACACCCCCCGGCAGTCCTCTGGCGTGGGAACTCTAGGACTCTAGGAGTCGACTCCTTTGTTCACGAGTTGATAGTTGGTTTTCACTTGTGCCCCCATGAGAACACAGAACTGTACGTGCATACAGACATGTGTACATATATATATATATGTAAACACATACGCATACATGATTGTAACTATATGCATCCCTCTCTTACAGATATGCACATCTAAACACTCAATATGCATTCACACACACGGAGAGACACTCACACACACTCAAATATATATATATATATATATATATATATATATATACACACACACACGAGTAAAGACACGTACTAAAACAGACGCACACACACAGACGCGTAAACATGTACATACATAGATGTATATGTAGATGCACATGTATACCTACATGTACCTACACAAGATTGCACAAATTTGCGCATAGCCACTTGTAATGTTGAGAGCCTTTGAGAACCTTGATGGACCTGTACACTCACCGAAAGCCTACCATAAACCCACCGTTGTTCCCGGCTTGCCGGCCCCGTTCTTCCTCGGAAGTCTGGTCAACCAACAACTCCAGAATCTCTCACAACTAGCGGTTTTGTGTTGGGGCCACATCGGTATGGCATGTGGCTATCTTTGCCCAGCTATTTGCTCTCTCGCATTGCAGCTCTCCCTTTTTATAGGCTTCAAGAACATATTGGTTGTTTCGAACCGGAATAGTGATGAGCAGGGCTCCTTTATGCGGAACTTTAAACTCAATGCAAAGTTAAAGGAGTTTCTTGGCATATGAGCGGTTTTGAAGCTATTGCTTAGTAACAGTATCCTCTTCCACGCCGAGTGTACTTATCCAGTATTCTTCCTCCTGTGCCGTATCTTTGTACTACAGCCTAACACTTTGTAGAACCTACATAAAACTCACCAACCCGTGCGGCAGCAACTTTGAGTCCTATGACCCATACGGCTTTAAGGGCTCGGCGTCGAGTAGGCCTCAGTAATTTTCCATCGTAATGTTCCTTAGTTTTCCCTGTCATACTAGTACCCCAAAACCCTGTTCTAATTAGTCAGGAAGCTCACAGCACAACCTTCAAAACCCTAAACCCTCAACCCTACACCCCAAAATCCTGAACCTTAAAAACCACCATTTCATGCTCTGAGGCTGAGTGGTCGCCAAGCCGCCATCGAAGCAGAGCTGGAGACGCCCCGATCCGAATAGGAATTTGGGTTTGGGGCTTAGGGTTTAGGGCGTGGGGTTTAGGGCTTGGGGTTTAGAGCTTGGGGTTTAGGGCTTAGAGTTCAGGGCTTAGAGTTTAGGGTTTAGAGTTTAGGGTTTAGAGTTCAGGCACACTGTAGGCTTTTTACTGGGTTTGACTGAGTCTCCAAGGGCTTTCTCTGTCAGGCTCCCATTCCTTGGGGTTCTTCAACATAGATGTATACAAGAATCATTCAGGCCTCCAAACCCGGGCTTTGGATCTTTCGTTGTTGTGCTTCGTTTGTATCTGGAACTCTCCGGGATTACCTGGCAGACTTGTATCACACTAGAGCCTCAGGAAGCACGACAGAATTGAATACTGGCAGGTCCTGACGGGTGTAAAAGGTTTGGGGCTTGGCTTTCAGGCTTCAGGGCCTCCGACCCAGCTAGGTAGAGGGTTCAAACACCCAAATCGCACGTACGGCTTTAGGTTGCTTTCGAAATTCGGGGAGTGTTTGTTGTTGATTTTGCTTCGCCGCTTTAACCCTCGAGCCGTGGCCACGTTCCCGTCGCTCCAGCTGAGTCTCAAGGGACACGGTCGAAGGATGAAGAATACGAACCGTGACTCCTCACAGTAGTCAGCGCCAGAATGCCAGCCATAACCGACAGGGTCAGAGGAGTCCTTCTCGCTGGTTTCTGGCAGCTACAACGAATCCAGCAGTCAAAAGCTAGCAACACGTGCGAAGGACCTATAATAGCTGAGCCCCCTACACTCTAAGCCTTGGCCATGTCTGGCGCGAGCCATGATGGCCTGCCGAAGCAGGATCTGCGAAGAACGGATGTGGCAGGAGTTGCTTGAGACGAAAAACCTTAAATCCATCACGATGGAGCCTGAGTAGTCATCCGGATTATCTCGTGAGGTTCCTTAGGATGGCGGAAGCACAGTATGTAGTTGCGGTCGTGTGGTCGGGTCTTGCGACTTCGCCTTGTCTAGCTTCTATGTTCTTGTTTGTAATGTGGAGGCTAAGAGTCCAGCCAAGCAGTCCGTCAAGACGACTACTTCGAGGTTCCAGGTACGTACTCCAAGTGGAATTCTGAGTATGCTACACACCCAAGTATGTCCTAAACGGCTATCTCGAGGGATTCGTGTTTGAGTTGCACTTGCGTTTGTACAGGTATCCTCGACCTGCAAGTTGGGGCGAAAAGCTAGCTGGCAAACAAATCCCTGAGCACCCATACGGTTTTGGGTTTAGGAAGTTTAGGTAGGGTTTAAGGCAGTTAGAGATCATATATAGATTGCGGATGCCAATAGTCACTATGCTTCTGCGGTCATTCTGGTTCAATGTGGAATGGTTTTTCTCACTGAGCCCTGTTCAGTTGAGGTACGGGTTCGCGTCCAGGGTTTAGGGTTTGAAGTGGTTTGAATTTAGAGCTTTGTGTTTGTTGGTATTTGGCTTGCCGGTTTGATCCGTGTCGGCTTCGAGATGCGGCTTTTGCGAACTCCCCACCCTGAGACTGACCCCGCGAAGAGCAAAGGCCACAGCCCTTATCCTCAAACCCCTCAACCCTGCAGCCCTGAACCCTAAGACTGCCAAGCTCTAATTTCTTAAGCCACAGAACCAGAGCTCTGGTCCTAGACTGTTCGGTTACGGCAACGTGCAACACCCGAAACCTATCGATCAAGCATCACGACCCTGAGCGACAAGCCCCCAAAGCTCGACTCTAGATCCGAAGTCCCATCCAAAAGACGTTTTCGGAAGCCCTCGACCGCTGACCCTAAACACCCTAATCTTGGAACCTGATTAAGAAACACTGGGCCTGTAACCGTGTAACCCCCAGAGTAGTAGGGCTCATATAGGGAAGCCTAATAAAGGCCTAAGGTTTCTTAATCACGTTCCTACATTATCCCCCCAGGCCCTCGGCCTGAAAACCCTAAAAGAGGATTGTCAAGAGACGG